GCAACTTATCGCGCGTTTATCCGTCGTGTTTCCTGCATGGAATGTTGCTGACCCCTTGACTCGTGTCGAGGGAGCTCCATCCTGATTGGCAGCTGTCCTTGCTGCACTCCATTTCTGCGTCTTGTAGGTGATGCGTGTTGACTTCTCCGGTGGCTGCGGCTTGTGGAGATTGCTTCGCCTCCTGGGGTGGTGGCTGGCGGGCTCTTCGATTTGTAGGCAGATTCACGATCAGCAAGACGACTGATGCCACCTTTGATGACACTGGCGGCCTTCCTCTTGGACTGGTCGTGTATTCACGCCTCCGCGATGGTGCACATGTGGGCGGAGATGAAGGTTTTGGGACGGCTGCTCCTCGGTGGGAGGAGCACTGGCGATGGCTGGCTGGGGCGTAACCTTCGAATTCGAAGGCGGCTCGACGACCGTGGGTGGGCGGGAACGGGCGACGCGACGCGTGCGTGCGGGCGGGCGGGCAGGCGGGTTTCCGTGGGCTAGGCCCGGGGGCTTCGGCGTTCCCCGGTAGCGCAGAATAGCGCTCCGGTGCGTTATCGGGTGGCGCTTACCGAGCGGCGCCGGCACCAAATTTTCTAGTTCAGAAAGGCCGGCAACCAGAGTTTCTTTGTGTGGCTGCAGTTTCCTTTTGGGCCGTCACTTTTCTGTTCACTGACCAAACTGTAGAAGATTGGGAAAAATAGTGAGTGGAAAAGGCACTCCCAGGCAACCGTCAGGTTGGAATTCTATATAGTAACCCCAAAGACTTGCCTAGACGAATTCGAAGCACTTACTCGAGGAATTGGTCCCGGGTCATGAAAAAGTGCTGGTCAAACTTGCTAGAATAGAGGTTCGCATGTCCCAAGATGAAAAACAGAAACTCTTTTTTCTAGTACATAATTAGTCGAGTACGAGATCCAATGTCTCTTCTTGCGTGGACTCGCTAAAGTCAGGCCTTCGGCTTCGCCCACTTCGTGTCCTGAGGTTGCCTGGAAGTCCACAGGGGAAACTGGTCACTTGATCCAGTGAAACCCCGCCAAATAGGTAAGAGAACTTGAAGCAAGTACAGTTAGTGAGCCGTGTAATGGGCAACTATTTTGCATGGCTCGGAGGGCACTTCAGTAAGTCTGTGCAAATCAGATTGAAGTTTTGACCCCTATCCCTTTTGATGATGCCAGAAGTTGGGGCGTCACTTTTCTGTCTTTTTTTTTTTTTTTCCCTTTTCTTTCTTCTTTGTTTTTCGTTTTTTTTCCTTTTTTTTCTTTTTTACTTTTCTTACTTTTTTTTTTTTTTTTTTCGGGGGAGCGTCAGACCGGTTCCTATTCCACCGGCAAGTCGGAGAACATTACAAGGTATACTCACTCACGCTCCTTCCCCTTGTGGTGTGGAGGTCCGAAGGACGGCATTGATTACTTACCGAGGGAAGGATGTACCACCCTTCACCCCTGCCTAAGTTAGCCTGTTTTACTGGGAGCCTGGAGTGGCAGCATAATTGGTGCTAGAACCCTAAAGTTCCCCCAAACCCTGGCTTGATACGTCTGTGTCTTTAACCTATCTTCAGTGATCCTATCTGTGTCGTAACTTGATGGGGTTGGAGGGTTCGGTCTGAGATCTAGGTATCACTTGTAGGGGACTGTTTCGGTTTAGGTTGAGGAGATCTTGGTAGGGGGGGTGTAGAGTTCTGGGGTGTGGCTGGGTTGGGGATAGTGAGTTTGTTGTGGTGTACTAGGTAATGTAAGGAGGGAATGGGGAGGGAGGGTTGGAGAGGGGGGATCGTTGGGGGATGAGTTAGTGGAGACAGACAGTAGAGGGTGTGGGGGACGCGGTGGGGGAAAGGAGTAGGGCTGGTGGGAGGTGGGGGGTCTTTGATGGGTTAGTTGTGAGAGGGTGGATTGGGGTTGAATGTGTGAGGGGTAGGGGGGTTGTATGGAAACTTTATATGTGTGTTATTGTTAGCCAATTTTTGAGAAGTAGTCTGTTGTTGTTAATTGTGCCAAGTAGCCCATTGCCTAGTTTGGAGGTGGGCAATTTTTGGATTATCAGATTATTCTTGTATGGATCAGTTGGGAGCTTCTTGAGTTGTTTTTTCCAGAGGGCGTGGATTTCAGTGTCTATAAGTTGTTGGATAAGAATGAGTGGGTTTTCTGCGGTGGTGTGTCGGTCATCGAAGGTGTTGTCGCATCTGTTTTTTCATATGGCCCATAGGGTGCTTTTCTTGATTTGGGAGGAGAGGAAAGCTTTGAATCCTTTGAGCGGGGGTGATTGGTTGAGGTCGAGGAATAGTGTGCCGGGGTTGATTAGTAGAGGAGAATCTGAGAATTTAAGTCATGGAGATTCTAGGGCTTGCCAGAGGGATCTTGCCTTTGGGCAATCCATGAAACAGTGGTTTAGGGATTCAGGGACTTCGAGGTTGCAAACCTTACACCAGGAATCCTGTTCGGATCTGTTTCCTTGATTGCGTCTGATGGCCAACCATTTGTTTACTGGGACTGCTCTGAAGGCTATTAGCCACCTCAGGCTAGCTAGCTTAACCGGTCTTGTGGATGGTACTGTCGCCCAGGGAAGTTTGAAGTGTGTATTGGTTAATGGTGGCTCCTCCTTTGTCCATCTGTTGCTTACTGTATTGGATATTGAAATGGGTTTGGCGAAAAGTCAATAACCTAGTTTGGGTGTGTAGTCGGTTAGTTTGCATGAGTTGGAGACGAGGGTGGAACCAGTAGGAGAGCTCCATGTCCATTCTGTGGGATCAATCTCTAGGTCGCAGATGTTAATATGGGGTTTATAGACTCTTTTTCTTTCTCCTTCTATGATTTTGATTCTTCTCAGGTTGTTGTTTTTGAATGATCCTTCTGCTCTGCTCTTTGAATTGATATAGCTTACCGGGTTTCCTGGTTCTTCTAGGGTGTGTATTTCACAGCATATCCATTCCTTGTTTTGGGGTTCGTAGTTCTTGACTGCGAGTACTTCCTGGGTTGATGGGGAGTCAATGTGTGGTGGCTCAGTCTCCATATTGCCATTTCTGTTTTGATTTTAGTAGGGCTCGCCAGTGTAGGGGAATGAAGTCTATGATGTCAGTTAAGTTAGTCTGTAAGTGGTGTACTCCTTTCAGTTTGTCACGTAGGTCGCTTTCTGTTTTCCAGGTATTGTTTGGTTCGTCCCAGATGTGCTTTATTTGCCGTATTCCCTTTTCTAGCCAGTGCCCCCATTTGGGTTCTGACTTTGAGATTGTGAGGCTTTCCCTTTTATTATTCTAGCTGGCCCAGGTTTGGCAGCTCCAGCCTCTGTCGACAGAGAGGTTTAACGAAATAAGCTTGGAGGCAGTGAGGGTTTAAGTCTTAGCATCAGAAGGGCAAACAAGGGCAAGAAAAGGTGCCACCAGTCCCAGCAATCTCTCCAATGAATGCACTATGTGAAGACCTCCTAATCGTTGTCAAATCCTTCAGGCTTGAACAGAGGGGCACAAAGTACAACAGGCTTGAACAGAGGGGCAAAAAAAGAAAAAAAGTTGAACTCTTCACAAGTTCACAGTGAATAACGCTGTTGCAAATGGACAAAACGAACAATAACAGACACATAGCCTCCTATCTTAACATGGTCTTGCCGACTTCAGGGAGAAATATCAAGAAAAGATGCCCATGGAATAGAATAGGCTCCGTTCCATTATGAGGGGCATCTGTCCGATTCCTTTTCCACTGGAAAGTCAAAGAATTACAATGAGGCCCTCACTCAACTACACAACGTTCTAAATGTATCTGGAGCTGATAATGGTCCTCATACATTCACATTTCTGGGTCCACACAAATGTATGTCGTCCATATACATGTAGAACTTTGTGCAGTGAAGCGAGGCCCTAATAACCACAAAACACTTCCCCTCGTTACGGCCAGAAGAGCCTCCGAGGCTCCAACAGCTTTCAAGATACGTCAAGAGTTCCAATCCCAACGGGATGGAGTAATGTTTGGGCTTCCCACCAATACAAAAGGATGCCACATATCATATAATATTTATACCTGATTACGGGTGCAAGGTGGAATACTCGAGCGGTGCTCGAACATGTCACGTGTTGCATCAATCTCCCGTGAAAACTGCAGCACAAATCCCGTACAGATGAGGTCAGATATTCATCCATTTTTTGAATATGGTCCACTGGGCTATTGTGACAAAGGGTCATGCCTCGCTGGCGCCATGTTTGTGCTAAGAAAGCACGAACATGGCCTTTTCACAAATGAGGTTTATGTTTTCTAAGCACCATTTGGCCTGCCTTAAGACTTAGCTCACAGTCGGCTGTCAACAGTCATAATACTCTGAGGTTTTCCCCACACTGCATGGTCTTTTGTGTCATTTGCACTTGCCTAAACTAGGTTGATGAGAAGATAATGCTAAGATAGCAATTAAAAGTCATCGATAATTAATGCAAGGAAAATGAGCCAAAGCGAACTACAGAATTCCAGATTGCAAAATCACAAAGAGAGCCAGATAGTCGAAAGCTGTCCAGAAAGCAGAAATGCACTGATGTCACACTGAAGGAGAACCAAAGCAGCGAACTCATTCGTCAATGAAAGCATACTCTCACCACCACTAACAATGCAAAATTGAGGCACTTCCTCTTATTGGCGCTCAGCGCCCAGACTACTATCCTACAGCTACACTACCACCCTACCAAATGACGAAGCAACCAGTTGGCGTCAGCAGCAGCAACCAAAGTACATGCAGAAGTCGACCATGTAGACCCCCACCAAGACCAGGTACGTGCCCTCACATCACTTCCTCTCTCGATCCCTTATGCTCACCCTCGACTTCCTCTTCCACGTCTCCCCATTACCCGAAGACTACCACCACCTCCGTTGTCTATCCAAGCTCAGCCCGGCCATGGAGGGCTCAGCTATGGCACTGCCTGCTTGCGGCACCCTCCCACTAGTGACCGCACTCGCTTCTCTGCACTGGCACCAGCAGCAACACGCGAGCATAAGCTCCAGCAGTGCCGCCGCCCGCTTGTCCAAGTGCCCGAATACCCTGTACTCGGCCAGGCACTTTGATATATGCAAAGTGGCCTGGCTGGTTGGCCGCCTGGCCTGCCTCACATGTGCCCAGTAGCTTCAGGTTGGGCCAAAGTGTCTGTGACTCTGCGCCCAGGCCCATTCAGAGAGTGTGTAATCTGAATACAAGACTTGAACACACAACCAACGGCTTGGCAGGCAAACACCTAACCATAAGGCTAAGTGGGCTGGGGTGAAAGTGAAGCCCCAAGATGAGCACTTCACCCCACCCCAGCACGGAGATCCCGCGACACGGTGTACCCAACCACACTCACCCCTACGCAGCCACAAATTGGTTAGGGACCGAATTGGTTAGGTGTGCGCAACCACCCAGGCACAAACGTGCCGTGTTCCCTGTGTCCCCTGTGTTGCAGGAAGAGCCTAGAAGGCTCACAAATATTTCTGATTCTCCCGAGCAAGGCGGATGTAACCGACTGGCGTGTGGCAACTGTCTGGCGCCCACCAAAGCTTTTCAACATTGACAAATTCAGGCCTCATTGAAATTTGAGGGCCCGCCTTCTCTTAGAGCGGGCAGATGCTTGTTGTAAGGGCCCCTCATGGGCATGCCGAAGACTTAAATCCACGCACTCCCTCCTCCTTTACTTGGATAGTCCTCTGAGAAGTCTTCATTAGTTCTTCTCTTGTGAACCATTGGTCTTCTTTAGGATCAAGATGGTGCCTGAAGCGTACTCTGTACTGCACTTGCAGTTTAGGAGGGTGTCCCCTGCCTGGAGGTTTGGGCACAGGCATCACCTTGTGCTCAATGATATCGTCAATGTCGACGTGTCCATCCATGGTTGGGGGCAGCATTGATCTTCTTGAGGGAAACTGATCAGTCTGTGCGAAAGTAGCCAGTTTGGAGGCGTGAAAAACAGGGTGAGTACGAAGGTGACCAGGGATTCGGATAACATAAGATTGCAACGACTTGCTGTTTTCTGGTCGCCTGTAGCCTCTCTCTGTCGAGGCTGTACTATAGGTAGGACAGATTCGTAATTTTGTTTGGCTGAGGGCTAACCGAGAGACCTACCTGTGAGGGAAATTCTTGAGGGACATATCTGCAAATCCGGGAAAATACAGGCCTGCTACTAACTTGATTCCCTACAGCTACCCTAACTGCGGATAGCAGGCTCGGGCTACCCCTAGACAGACAGGCCCTACGGGCCTATTCTGCATAGACCGTCCTATAGCCTACAGCCGGGTCCGGTAGAGGCCGAGAGGCCGAAACAGATACGGTACCGGTCGGTCAGTCAGTCCGGTGTAGGTCGGTGTAGGCTAGAAGTAGGATGGGGACATCGGTTCAGGGCTTTTGGGCAGTTGGTACCGTGTACATCGCTGCTGCGCTACGCGTGAACCGGAAGTGCTGACGGCTCAGCGTGGAGGAAGACGGGCATAGCCAGACCATCGGAGTGCAGGCCATAGCTGGGACCTGYGCTGTACTCGGCCAGCACGCAGGGGCTGACAGAGGTCTGGGTTATCGAGGTCTGCTGGAGGCGAGAGAGATTGGTGCCCTGCTGGACCCTCCTCTGGAGTGGGGTCCCAGAGGGTTTGCGCTGCAGCCATAGCTGCAGCTTCTTCATCTCAGAGGTCATCTGATCAGGGTTTGGTGGCGCTGCTGCAGGCTTCCACCCGGGAAGYCTCCCGACACTTCGTCATCATCAGATACTGTGGTGCTGGTCTTCTTCTTCATCCTCTGAGTGGCACTTGGCCTCAGAGGCCTGTTTCAGGGTGGCGCTGCCCCCAGGAGTCTGTATTTGGGTGGCGCTTGATGCTTCAGGGCTCAAGGGGTGTTCCGAGGGTTAATCAGGGTTGGAGAGTGAAGCGCTGCTCAATTTTGAGCAGCGCACTGTAGTTCTCGAGTGATCCTGACATTTTGAGACTCTGAGTTTAATAAACAGTGTGTAACTGTGTTTGGACTATCATCGTTTCATTGTTTCCTGGATGTGATCTGCTCGACTTTTCTCTATGACTGGTTGTGAGGATTGAATGGAGTGAATTGCACTTGCAGTGTACCCTGTCATATCGCATGGACAAGTCTTCCGCTGTGTTTCTCTCTCCCTGTGCGGTGTGATACTCCTATCCTCTCCCATTCCTTTTGTGTGTGTATGGGCATGTGCAGAAGTTTATGTGAGTGAGTGTTCGCCTTCAGGCAACGTACAACCAGAATCATAACAGTTGGTATCAGAGCAATTGGATCCAGCCTCTGGAGCGATTGATGAGTTGGAGCACCCATCATCACCTGGCGAGATACTGGAGTTGGGTTTCATGGCGATTCATCATCTTCAGGGTTGTTGTCAGTAGGGTGGTGGTTGTGAGTGTGTGGCGAGAAGCAACAGGCAGAGGGTGACACACTCCTGGCTAGGGTTATGCAGGAGTGAGTGGCGATTGATAATCCAGAAGCCCAGAAGGCTCTGGGAGGCTAATAATAGCCTAGCGATTCACCTGGAGGTTGGCGATTGTCAATGAAGTGATCCCAGGAGGTTGCGATTTTGGAATTGGGTTAGAATCCCCAATTTCCAATCAGCGTTGTACAGGGTGATGTGGCGCTGTACTGTCTGGAGCAGTTATCAACACCTGGGAGTCCAAATTCGTTGAATCTGTCAGTTGGGGGTGAAGCACCTCAGGGAATTCTACTGGATCACCAAGTTTGGAAGAATTCTGTACGTGGGAACACTGTAAACTATCAGGAGGTGAAACTGGCGAGATAGGGTTGACTATTCAGCCATAGCCAAGATTTCAAGCATCTTCTTCAGAGTTGACCCTGAAGTGAGTGTGTTCCTTACTCTATCCTGTGTGGCGATTCTGGGGCTATTTGTAGAATAGAGAAATTTGGTTTGTCTGTCAGGTGACACTTGAAAATCGAAATTCAGACTGTGGGACAGCCATATCCAACTTCTCCTACCTATCTTCTTTGACCTCTACTAACCCTGTTTGACCTCCCCTCTGACCCAAATTTCATTTGCTACTGCTGTACAGTGTTGCGATTCATATGATACTGTGAATTGGATTGTTCAGGGCCAGTTTGCTAGTGATACTGCAAATTTGAATTTTGCGCTGACATAACCAAAGCTATGGTAGACTAGGGTCAGTCATAACTTTGATTCTGCCCGTCAGAATTCAGTTCTGTCAGTCCCTGGTAAATCGCAATTCAATATTCTACCAGTGCCTGAAATCGCACAGTCAGATTTGATGTTTTGAGTCAGTTACAGTGTTTGCTGTAATCCGCCATACCCTCAGTATGGCATCCAGGGTCATACAGTGTTGATGTCAACAGGGTAGGTCTAAAAATAGCTTTTCCTGTAAATCGCTGCATCTTGGTCATCAATAGATACCTATCTAACCCTAATTAGTCACTCTGTCTGATTACTAACCAACACTAATTAGTCCAAGACTGCATCATGTCAGTTGTTGATCCAGGATTTGCAATTATTGCGTGCAATTGTTGAGTCAGGGCAGGGATGGAAAAATCGTAAAATTGGTTTTGCCTGAGTGGACCCTGAACTGACCCTGACCCTCAAGCGGTCTGCTGAGACTGAGCACTCACTTGCTCAGATTAACCCATCTCCTCTCTCCAGGCACGTGACAACACTTGGATTAGTACTGCAGGGAACATCCAATTCCTGTTACCTCCTGTCTGTTCTTTGATTGTCATTTTTTGTTTGTTTATTTGTCTGTATTGTGGGGAACAATATGGCGGAATCAGGGAAGGCTGAGGGAGTTGAGAGTTCTGGGGAGACACCCCAGGTAAAACTTGAGATGAAAGTGCAGCTTGTAACACCTGTACCGCCTGACCCTTTAGAGGCTGAACTGCGGGCCCAAGAGGAGAAACTCCGCTTGCAGACCCAGGCAGTTGAGAACCTAAAGGCAGAGCTCAAGAGGAAGGAAGAGTATGCCAGAAGGCGGCCAGAAGAAAAGTGTTGATTGGAGATATGCAGAGGATTATGAGCCTCGGTACGACCAGTCAGGCAAGTAAGGATGAATTCATCCTGCAGAATTCATCCTTCTGCAGGATGAGATTCACCGGTCCTACTTTACTAACTGGGATGACCAAATCTCAGGTCTGGAGACCAGCCATTCAGCTTTGTCAAAGAAGCTAGATGACATCTCTGCTCAACTGAACAACATTGCCAAACAACTGCAGATTACCCCTGTTCAAACTGTTCCCCTCTCTTCTGGCCCTTCTGCAGCACCTGTCCCAAAACCCCCACACTCCAGACCTACATCCCCACCTCTCACACCCAAGTCACCAGCACCCTCTCAGTCCTCAACCCCATTTGAGCCGCAGCGGCCCAAGCTGACCCCTCCACCAATGTTCTCAGGAGAAGATCCTAAGGTGGATGTGGCAGATTGGGTGACTGCGCAGCGAACCTACCTGAGTGGGTTCAAATGCGACGAGGATGTGAAGGTGTTAGCCATCCTGGCACGGCTGGAGAGGACTGCACTAAAATGGTGCACCTCCACCTCCAGCAAGCAGGGGATGGAGATGGCTGATTGGGCGCAGAGGCTGGGGGTGGCTGGATTTCTGCAGGCCCTGCAGGACCGGTTTGCAGACAAGGAGCAGGCAAGAAAGGCTGCAGATAAAATTCTGCGCCTGGGCCAGAAAAAGTTTGATGGCTCCTTGTCCAAACTGTATTCCACCTTTGAGAGTCTGACATCGACTCCAGGGTTGGAGATGAGTGAGCAGGATCTGCTCATTCATTTCCTGAGGGCAGCGCCTGAGCAATTCCAGCTTGCTCTCTTCTCTCAGGGCCACAAGGACTGGAGGTCCTTTGGCAGAGAAGCCCTGGACTTGGAATCCAAGCTCCATGTCCAGGAAGCACCTTCTGAAGGAAGGAAGGGGCCCTCCTCCAAAGGGCGAAGGAGGAGGAAGGGCGCCTTGTTTGCTGCTGCAGCGTCTGGTTCTGATAGTGACGCAGCATCCCAGGGTGGGAGCCCTCCACCTGGGACTGCATCATCATCAGCTGCAGATCCTGTTCTTGCCCTGGCTGATGCTTTGATGGGCTTGGCAAAGGGAAAGGCCCCAACCCAGAAAGCACCAACCAGTCGCCAGGGGAAAGGGAAGGGACGTGCCTCTTCCCCTGGGGCCCAGAGAGTACCTCTATCACGAGACGTCCGCTGGCCAGCTGATCCACTTGATCCTTCCACCTTCCCCTGGCATGCACTCAGGATCCAGGAGGGAGTTTGGAGGAAGAGGAAGGATAAGGGGATCTGCCTGAGATGCGAGGCGGACCACTTCCTCAAGGACTGTCCCAGTATGCCTCGTAGGTCTGCAGGCAGCTCTAGTTCAAAAAACTAGAGCAGAGAGAGGTGGAAGCAGCAGCTCCTTCCAGCAGTGCTGATTCCCTCTCTGACAGAGGTGAATCTTCACATTCTCTCGCTGGTATTTTTATTTCCAGAGTTGCATTGGCAGGGTCTTTCACTTTTGAAGACTCTGAGTTGGATGAGACGTGGGAGGAGGACGATGCTCAGACTATTGCTGATCTTTTCCTGTCTTTGTAGGAGAAGAAGAAGCACCCGTCTGAACTCATCCTGCTTCGACCCTACATCCTGGGAGCCAAGATCAAAGGGCTCTTGGACTGTGGGGCTACTCGCAACTTCATCTCCCCCAAGGCAGTCAACAAACTGCACTTGGATCAGACATTGGTGAAGCTGCAACAACCGTTAGAGGTCCGGATTGGGGACTCTTCCACAGTCAGGATTACCACTGATGTCAAGGGCCTACCTGTGTCCTTTGGCAAGCAGGGGGAAGTCAGGCATCGCCTGAACTTCTATGTGTTCCCTAACGTTCCCTTTGACCTTGTCTTCTCGATGCAGTGGCTTGGTGCCACCAATCCTAGGATTGACAGGCGGATTCCTAGGGTTGAGCTGCCTGACCGGCATGGGGTCTATCGCCCTTGTATGCTCGCTAACGAGTACCATCCTGCCAGCAGCTGTTATTGCATGAGTGCTCGCAAGTTTTTGCGATTCTCACGCCAGACTGCCCACGCTCGTCTATTTGTGGCTTATGTCAAACAGACTGACGTGGAGACTGCTCCCTGTCCCTCTCAGATTCAGCAGGTGGTAGACCGCTTCTCAGATCTTATGGAGGAGCCTACTGGACTTGTCCATAGGCAAACCAAACATAAGATTGAGATCCTGCCTGGCTCGGTCCCTCCCAAGGGTCGGGTCTACAGGATGTCTCCTGCTGAACTTGAAGAGCTCAGGAAACAGTTAGAGACCCTGACCAGCAAGGGCTGGATTAGGCCCAGCACATCTGAGTTTGGAGCACCAGTCCTTTTTGTTCCAAAGGGGAATGGTGAGTTCAGGATGTGCGTGGACTACCGTGGTCTCAACAAAATCACGAGGAAGTCTATAGAGCCCCTTCCTCGCATTGATGACCTGTTGGACATGGTGCAGGGTTGTACTATTTTCAGCAAGATCGATCTCAAATCTGGCTACCACCAGATTGAGATGGTTGAAGGCGATGTCCACAGGACAACCTTCAAAACCAGATATGGGACTTACGAGTACCTGGTTATGCCATTCGGTCTTTGCAATGCGCCAGGCACCTTCCAAACAGAGATGCACCGCATACTGAGGCCTTACCTGGACAAGTTCGTAGTTGTCTACCTTGATGACATCTTGGTATTCAGTCGTTCTGTCCAGGAGCATGCGCAGCATCTGGCTCTGGTCCTCCAGGCCTTGCGTGCTAACCAGTATAAGATTAACAGGGAGAAATCCTCCTTTGGGGTTCCCTCTGTAATCTATCTGGGACACGTGATTTCTGGAGACGGGTTGGCTCTTGAAGCAACAAAAGTTGCTGTAGTTCAGGACTGGCCGCGACCTGCTAACATTCGTGATGTCCGGTCTTTCTTGGGGCTTGCATCCTACTACAGGAAGTTCATCAAGAACTTCTCAGCGATTGCAGCTCCCCTGACTGATCTTACAAAGAAATTCACTTCCTTTCTTTGGACGTCAGAATGTTAGGAGGCGTTTACACGTCTCAAGGAGGCCTTGATTCGTCCCCCTGTCCTGAAGCTACCTGACCCTACTTTGCCTTTTGTACTGACTACTGATGCTAGCCAGTATGGTGTAGGGGCGGTACTTCAGCAGGATGATGGGAATGGTCTGCAACCCATTGAGTATATGAGCAAGAAGATCAAGACCAAGAAGCTGCAGGACTCTACCTATGAGAAGGAGCTCTATGCTCTTGTGTCAGCGCTCAAGCATTGGAAGCATTTTCTCCTAGGTAGGCACTTCAAGATCTTTTCAGATCACTCCACCCTTCAGTGGATGAAGTCCCAGGGAGAGCTGAATGACAAGCTTGCTTGCTATATCCAGTTCATTGACATGTTTGACTTTGAACTGAGACACAAGAAGGGCTGCTACAATAGAGTCGCAGATGCCCTTTCTCAAAGGCCTCACGCTCTCTTTCTGATCTCCTTTACTCACTCGTTTGGAGAGAGGACACGTCAGACCATTGCCCAGTTGCTGCCCCAGGATGAGATCTTTGGGCCTATTGTGAGGAATCTCCAGGACGATCCTGCCTCTGAACCAGGATACTCTCTGGTCTCAGGCCTGCTGTACACGTGCAGCATAGGCGAGGAGTGCCTGTGCATTCCCCAGGACCGCGAGCTGAGGACACTTCTGATGTCAGAATGTCATGACGCTCGTGGTCACTTTGGTGCCCTCAAATCTTATGCAGCCCTGTCGCAGCGCTTCTTCTGGAAGGAGATGAGGAGTAACATGCTGCATTATGTGGAAACCTGTGAGTTGTGCCAAAGGAACAAGGTGGTACGTCGACCTCCCCTTGGCTTACTCAAACCCCTACCTATCCCTGATGCTCCTGCACAGTCAGTTTCTATTGATTTCACTAACTTGGGTAGGACCACACCACGAGGTATGCGTCAGGTCATGGTATGTGTGGATCGGTTTTCCAAATATGCAGAGTTCATCCCCTTACCAGCTGAGGCTCGTGTGCCCGCCGTTCAGGCGGCTTTTGCTGACAGGTGGGTTACACATCATGGACCACCCACCTCCATTGTCAGTGACAGAGATCCCCGTTTTTGCAGCAATGAATGACAATCCTACTCCAGGGATTACCTTCATTCGAGGTTGGACATGACATCTGGTCGTCATCCTGAAGCCAATGGTCAGGCTGAAGTGATGAACCAGATTCTGTTCCAATTGTTGCGTCTTGTGATCAGTCCAGATCAGCAGGACTGGGACCTCCATCTGAGTCGTGCACAGCTTGTGTATAACACGTCTGTACACTCCTCGACTGGTTTCACACCCTACCGGTTACAATGGGGTCGTGAACCACGGAAGCCTCTCGATGATATCATCGACAAGGCTACCCCTACGCCGTCACCTGGAACTGCAGAGTTCACCAGGCGTTACCCTGTGGACATAGAGCGTGCCCGTGCTAACCTGTTGAAAGCCCAAAAGGCTATGATTCAACAGGCCAATAAGCACAGGTGTCCTTCTACGATTCGCACAGGTGACTGGGTGTGGGTACTCAGTTCTGAGCTGTCACGAGAGGAGGACATTTCGCCTAAGCTGCTGCCACGATATATGGGTCCATGGCAGGTCTTAGATACAGTGGGAGCTGATGCGTTTAGACCGTCCTATAACGTGGACGTCCCTCTGCATCTACAAACCTACCCTGTCTTTCATGCATCTAAGTTGTTGCCATTCATGCCAGCTGATGCATTTCCAGACAGGCCTCCTCAATTCGGTCCCCCTATCCCTGGCAAAGGGTATGAGGTCGAATCTGTGGAGGATGAGTCAGGGACAGGTCCAGATAAGGAGTATCTTGTGAAGTTTTCATACCAGCCACACACTGAAGATCGCTGGTTTACTCGCAAGGAACTCCTGAAGACAGCTAAGTCTGTCATCCTCAGATATGAGGCAGCACAGAAGGGGGTATCCCTTCGGCGCTCTGCACGCCTACGCCCCTAGCTCGGAGGTCCTCGCTCCGGGGGAGGGTAGGTCTGCAATGACTTGCTGTTTTCTGGTCGCTTGTAGCCTCTCTCTGTCGAGGTTGTACTATAGGTAGGACAGATTCATAATTTTGTTTGGCTGAGGGCTAACCGAGAGACCTACTTGTGAGGGAAATTCTTGAGGGACATATCTGCAAATCCGAGAAAATACAGGCCTGGTACTAACTTGATTCCCTACAGCTACCCTAACTGCGGATAGCAGGCCCGGGCTACCCCTAGACAGACAGGCCCTATGGGCCTATTTTGAATAGACGGTCCTATAGCCTATAGCCAGGTCCGGTAGAGGCCGAGAGGCCGAAACAGATACGGTACCGGTCGGTCAGTCAGTCCGGTCTAGGTCGGTGTAGGCTAGAAGTAGGATGGGGACATCGGTTCAGGGCTTTTGGGCAGTTGGTACCGTGTACATCGCTGCTGCGCTACGCGTGAACCGGAAGTGCTGACGGCTCAGCGTGGAGGAAGACGGGCATAGCCAGACCATCGGAGTGCAGGCCATAGCTGGGACCTGYGCTGTACTCGGCCAGCACGCAGGGGCTGACAGAGGTCTGGGTTATCGAGGTCTGCTGGAGGCGAGAGAGATTGGTGCCCTGCTGGACCCTCCTCTGGAGTGGGGTCCCAGAGGGTTTGCGCTGCAGCCATAGCTGCAGCTTCTTCATCTCAGAGGTCATCTGATCAGGGTTTGGTGGCGCTGCTGCAGGCTTCCACCCGGGAAGCCTCCCGACACTTCGTCATCATCAGATACTATAGTGCTGGTCTTCTTCTTCATCCTCTAAGTGGCACTTGGCCTCAAAGGCCTGTTTCAGGGTGGCGCTGCCCCCAGGAGTCTGTATTTGGGTGGCGCTTGATGTTTCAGGGCTCAGGGGGTGTTCCGAGGGTTAATTAGGGTTGGAGAGTGAAGTGCTGCTCAATTTTGAGCAGCGCGCTGTAGTTCTGGATTGATCCTGACATTTTGAGACTCTGAGTTTAATAAACAGTGTGTAACTGTGTTTGGACTATCATCGTTTCATTGTTTCCTGGATGTGATCTGCTCGGCTTTTCTCTATGACTGGTTGTGAGGATTGAATGGAGTGAATTGCACTTGCAGTGTACCCTGTCATATCGCATGGACAAGTCTTCCGCTGTGTTTATCTCTCCCTGTGCGGTGTGATACTCCTATCCTCTCCCCTTCCTTCTGTGTGTGTATGGGCATGTGCAGAAGTTTATGTGAGTGAGTGTTGGCCTTCAGGCAACGTACAACCAGAATCATAACAAGATGGTCCATCCGGTGCATCCCCGACTATATCCAAAACTTCCCACGGCCCAAAGTTCTGCGGCATGAGTTTCCTTGAAATACCCAGTTCCTGTCCCAGCTCAGATGATTTAACTCACACTCTTTCCCCTACTTGGAATGCAGATGGCCGTCTATGTCTGTTCTCAGATGTGTTACATGCCCAGTTGGGCGATGTACGTAATAACCAAGGATCCGCAATGTGATGAAAAGGACTGAATGGACAATGTAGTGCAAGTAGAATCTCAACAAGCAATGTGCATTCCGATACATACAAAATGGTGCTGAATAGCGCAGGGAAGACTTAGATACAAATCCTGACCTGACCGAGACTGACCTCATTCACGTAGTATAAGATAGCGAAGCAGAATGCTAGAATGCTAATGACTAGCCCAATCAATGTTTGAACGCAGACCAAACATACATCGTGTCCATCACAAGGTGTGAAGGAGCCTGGCGCTGTACACAGGAAGAAAGCGCCAGATCCAGACATACACAGACGAAGAGGAGGGGATCAGACAAAGAGAGGGGGAGAGATGGGAATGTCGTCAACACCAAGTCTTTGTCACAAGTCCCAAATAATCCCTTGTCGCAATGTCTGAAGCCCAAAAGTCGAGTCTGGATCCAATCTCTCTATCTCTCTCTCTCTCTCTCTCTCTCTCTCTCTCTCTCTCTCTCTCTCTCTCTCTCTCGTAGTCTGCTGATGCAGTGAAGTCAGATAATAAGAAGGTGAGAGGGAGATGGTGGACTGAGAAGAGGAAGAAGAAGAACTCTCTCTCTGTCACGAGCCAGATACTAACCTGTGAAGTTGGCGCTGTGCTGCAGGTACCTCGAAGACGAAGATGGAGCAACGGCGCTGCAGGTAGGTACTCCTGGCCTCCGCCCAATCTCTCTCTCTCTAGTGCTATCCTAGCGATGGCGCCCAGAGCTGAAGACTACAGCTACCTACTGCGCCCAGCGCTGAAGACTAAGGCTAACGCTACCACTACTGCAGCGCTCCCTCCAGAGTGTTGCTGCCGAATCCTGAAGACTACTGACTGCCTCCTGCCTACTCGTGAAGTGCATGGGAAGTCCCTATGTACTACCTCGCCTGCCTCGTGACTGCCTGCAGGGCGAGCCAGGCCGAGGAGACTGCTCTTGCCCATGCCGAAGTGTGCCGGGGGCTGGAGCTGCAGCATCTGCTGAGGCTGTCGTGGGAACAGGCTAAGAATAGCCTCTTCCCAAAACCCTGGTTCGGTGCCTGAGTTTCAGGGCCGGTCGTTCTGATGAACGACAAAAAATGGCCCTTCATTTCAGGCTAAAAAGGCTATTGCCATTTTTACTCTGAAACGACACAGGGTCTGTAGGCCCCTGTTTTTCAGACTTTCGGGCTGAACAGACATGGCGCCTGTAGGCCCTGGTTTTCAGGCTTTCAGCCTGAGGGATGCAGGGCCTGGAAAATGGCCCTCGTGTGCAGGCGCAACATGTAACAGATGCTACCACAACGTTCTGAGCTTTCCCAATCTGTTCTACAGCCTGCTGCAGCATCTGGTCATACTTGACAGTGAATTCTATGTTGCCAGGTGCTGCTGTGGGCTG